ATTTAGAAAGTCTAAAGAAATCATAAAGGCGATAATGATCGTTTTGGGCTTAAAGAAACGTTCGGGTTTAATTAGGCCCATTGGGCCAAAACCCATTGGGCTTTTATTCAAGCATTGGATGACTTGAAATAATTAAAAGCCCAAAGCCCAAACCAAACACATATGGCCGGCCAAAGAGAGGGAGAGAGAAGGTCAATTGTTGACTTGTTTCTTTATGTAATAAAAGGAACGTTATAATGAAAGAAGAGTTAGTGTGTTTTAGTGTGTTAAAAATACAAAAGAGAAAAGAACATCAAACTCTCTCTAACAACAAAGGGCCGGCCACCATGGGGGTTTTTTAGCTAATCATTTTATCACCCCTTTGGTTATTCCTTCATCCTTCTCACTACACTAGTGGGTGAGGATCTTTAGAGGTTTTCAAATTTGGAAAGGATCTTTAGAGGTTTTCAATTTTGGAAACTTGAAGAGGACCTAGGAGCACTCATTCTCAACAAAGTGGAGGAGGCAAGGAGGGAGGCTAGGCTCAAGGAGTTCAAGGAGCAAAGAGCTTGGAGGTGGTCAATCCTTGGTCTAAGATCTAGATCAAGAGGTATAAAACTACTCCTAAACTTTGTTCTTCAATAAATTGTTTTTGATGCATCATAAATAAACCTATGAATCTTGAAGGGGATTTTCATGACTAGAGCTTTGATATTAATTGATGACATGCTTCCGTTGTTTTCGTATATAAATTTTGAATTGTATATGCATGCTAGTCAATAGAAATCCCACATAAATCTCACAATTTCCCTTCACCTATATCATCGACTCAATGATTAACCTTACAGTTATTTGACCTCCAAAAAAATATACAAGATGCTATGAGCTTATAATAATTCTTACTGTCTTCATACAAAGACCTATTCGATAAATAAGTTTCTAAATACTTGTCTTCTTTGGTAATAATTTCTTGGAGTCTTACACAAGCGCAAAGATTGGCCCCCAGCAAGGGGAGACCAGTCTACCGAGGGCTTTACCAAGTTCTCGATCCCGATCAACCAAATCCTCCGTGATGTCAAAAGCAAACATTGGTTCAAGCTGCCAAAACAGATAAAGGTATATATCTCGAAATTGGATCACACCAAATATTATGTGTTCCATTGAGGTCTTGGTCACATGACTGATAGCAGCTATACATGGAGGGTCTACCTAAAAAAGCTTGAGAAAGAAGGGAAATGCGATAGATATCTGGACAAGCCAGCTATGCAGCCTAGTAGAAACACAGATGTAGATGAAAAGCCACCACTCAAGACAATTCGAATCAACGACATCTTTGCAGAATCTAAACACTTGGGGGATACCAACAAGTTTAAGAAGAGGAAGATCTAGCAGGACATTTCGGTATCTCAGGTCTAGGCAGCTGATATGAACCCTGGACCCATCATTGGTTTTACCATGCAAGATGTTGAAGGTGTAGACTTCCTACACAACGACGCTCTAGTCATATCTGTCCAACTGGCCTACGCCATAGTCGGCATAATGATGGTGTATAATGGCAGCCCAATCAACCTACTCCAATTTTTAATCATTCAGAAGATAAGCTTGGAAAGTAAGATTATACATCTAGCTGAGTTACTCATCGAATTCAATTGTCACACCTTGACTCCCATCAGCAAAATAACACTTGACGTGAGAACAACACTTGTGGTCTCAAAGAAGACGTTCACGATAGTTAGCGACCCATTTCCATATAATAGGATTGTAGGTCAGCCCTGACTAGTGAGATTGGGCGCTGTAACCTCTGTTGAGTACCAAAAAATCCGATTCTGTATCCCATGATGAGGAGTGAAATAGATCAAGTTAGACCAGGCCGCATCTCAACGATGCATTATACAACTTTGGAAATAGTCAAAAAAGAAGTTCTTCACTTCAGTAGAGGCCACTGAGGTGCAGAAGGACGGCCCGGCTACGGAATAGCAATCACAGCAAACATATTTAGATGATGGCGTCCGAGATGAAGTGTCAACAAGCGAGGCTGGATGGAAGCCAGAGGAAGATGCCAAATACATCATTCTTAATCCCTTGCAGCTGGAAAAGTTGGCTAGACTCAACTTCCGTCTGAGCTCGAAGGAAAAGGAAGAACTCAAGGCTTTCCTTAAGGAAAGTTATGAAATCTTCGCATGGTCACCTTCCAACATGCCCGACATTGATCTCGAGATAGCTTGCCCCAAGCTACACATCAACCCCACTGCCAAACTAATGATCCAGAAAAGAAGAGATTTCGTGCCCGAGTGCGTAGCAATCATTAAGGCAGAGATTGACAAGCTACTAAAGGTTGGATTTATTGAGGAAATAACACATTCAGCATGGTTAGCCAATTTCATGCTAGTAATGAAAAAAAAGAAAGGAAAGTGGAAAGTTTGCGTGGGCTAAATCAACCTCAACAAGGCATGCTCCAAAGATCAGTATCCAATTCCCTGGATCGGCCTACTAGTAAATTCAACCTTTAGGAACCAACTGCTCAGCTTCTGGATGCATCCTCAGGCTACAATCAAATTACAATGCACGAGCCTAACGAAGAGAAAGCTGCATTCGTGATTGGGCGAGGCACATATTGCTACAAGGTCATGTCTTTCAACCTTAAGAACGCATGAGCTACTTACCAACGGTTAATGAACATGATGTTCAAGATGCAGATTGGGTTAATCATGGAAGTATATGTCGACGACATCATGGTAAAACGAAAGTAGTTGTTAGACCACATCGGCAACTTGACGAAAATATTTAACATCTTTAGGGAATAAAAGATGAAGCTTAATCCCGCATAATGCACATTTGGAGTATCCTCAGGCAGATTCTTAGGGTACCTTGTAACCGAGCTAGGAATTGAAGCACATCCCAAGCTTAGTTTACCAAGCCCGCACAGCAACAAAAGCCTAGGCCTTGGAGAATTTCATAGCAGAGTTCAGACCTAGCCTAGACGATGCAACAATACAACCCAAGAACGCTCTGGAGGTAGTCAAGCACACCATGGCCACCCTAGCCCTACCTGACAAAGTTTTTTGGCGTTTACACATCGATGGTTCATCTAACTACAAGGGCTTGAGAGCAACCATGGTTCTCATCACCCCAGACGGCTCAATGCTAGAGTAGACAATCACTATAGGCTTCAAAGCATCCAACAACAAAGTAGAATACGAAGCCTTATTAGCAGGCCTCTGAATGGCAAAAAACTTGGCAATGAAGAAACTCGTAATCCATTTCGATTCTTAACTAATCGCCAGCCAAGCTACCAGGGAGTATGCAGCAAAGCATCCAAGAAAGAAAGTACAAGAACAACTTGTGACATTTTAGTGAAACACATGTTGATTGCATGTCTTTGTGAAACACATGTTGATCCTTTATACATATATGTAATTTAGTTTAAACAATTGATTGTTGGTCTTTCCAATTCCTTTCTCTGAAAAAATTAGACATCGTTATTAGAATGTGGATAATAAGCTGTGGTAAGATTTCATAAGTCCTTAAATTATTTTACTATCTGGATGTATAAAATATGCGAGACATATTTGTACTGATGGTGGAATTTAGAAACCGCACAACGGTTCTTGATGGGTTTGCAAATCGTTGCATCATTTGAAATCAATGAGGCTAGGATAGGCCCCATGCTGAAGAATGGTTAGTTTACGCTTACACTAAAAAAAGGTGCCAGTTAAGGCCAAGTGAAATGGCTTGATTAAAAAACTTGCTTTATCTGCAAATTTAGAAGGGTTGCAATGATACCAGTTCATGAACTCATATGCTTTTTTAGAAAGGAATGAGTCTAAATTGATGCATTTAATCCACAATGTGATAAGTTCTTTCTTCATGAAAGAGAAGATAACACCCTTATGTCCGTATGTGACTAAGAACTTTGGTTGTGACAAAGAGAACCATTGATTTCATTGTCACTCAAATGAAACTAGCTGATACGTGAAGCCTTCAAAGCCAGAGTGCTAGAGAAACTTGAAATCAGTCTTTGTTTCTTAATCATTATGCGATATTAAGGAAAAGATCATAAGAACCAAAGGTTTGGAATTTTATGTATATTATTGATATGAACGTGGAAGTAAAATATATACAGGTATTATACACGATTAACTCCATGAAAGATGGAGTTGACTTCCTAACTAAGTAGATATACATAAGGTAAATATACAACAATCAGGGCTTTGATTCGTAGATTTCTCAATACTCCACCTCAAGTTGGAGAGTGAATGTTGTGAAATCCCAACTTGTTTTTGAGAGAATTGAAGTGATCTCTTCCTAATGCCTTCGTGAATATGTCAGCCAATTGAATTCGTGAAGGAACATAGGAGGGGGAAATTAATCCAGCTTGTAGCTTCTCTCGAACAATGTGGCAATCAATTTCGATATGCTTTGTGTGCTCATGGAAAACTGGGTTCGCTACAATGTGGATAGCAGCTTTGCTATTACAATAAAGGGCAATTGGTTTATCTTGTAAAATTGCAACCAAGTTAGCTCTAAACATGTGGTTGCCATTGCCTGGTACTCTGCTTCGGCAAAGGAACGAGAAACATTTGATTGTTTCTTCGACTTCCAAGAAATGAGGGCATCACCAATAGACACGTAGAATCCTATGACTGATTTCCTTGTTGCCTTACACCCCGCCCAATCTGAGTCATAGTAGGCTTTTAAAGAAAGGTCATTAGTAGCTGGAAATAACAATACTTGACCTGGACTTCCTTAAATCACCACTAAAAAGTATCATTTTGTCGACAAAGCAAAAATTTGTCGACACAAGAGTCCTATCTCGACGAAATATTCGAATTGTCGAGTAGAAACTAATAGATTTAAGTCGACAAATAATTTGTCATAAAAAGGAGGTTTACTCGAAGAAACATCCATTAGTTGAGAATCTCGTTGGTACATTTATTAAAAAAGGCGGGATGTTTCCCTCCCTTAAAAGTTAATTTTTTTCAAGTAGCGGGAAAACGAAATAAAATAAAATTGTTCGTTTTAAGAGCTGCTTTCACACCCTAATGAAAAAAAAAATTAATCTAAACAAGGAAAAATAAAAATCTTGTCGCACCCTAGATTTAAATCCCGTTGCTATCTCCAATCTCGGTTGCTCTTCTTGGATTGACCATCCTAGCAGCGATTCTTGTCTACCACCATACCAACTGCTCTCCGTTGCTATGCAATCGGTTCTTTATACGAGTCTCTCTCCAATTAGAAACCCAGATCTGAACCCAGTTGCTGACAACCAGATCGTTGTAAGTCTATAACCTTTCACTTGTTTGAAATTTCAATTTTCAAGGTTCGATCCATCTATATTCGCTTCATCTGTTTTTGGAGGTATTTTTTTAGGGTCAATAGATGCTTTCAGGGGAACCCCCAGCAGAGGAAACGCTCTCCCTTTTATCTCTCTCTGCAATCTCTAGGTATTCTCTCAATTCCTCTCTCAATTGATGCTGTAGCATTTGAAATTGAAATTGTTAGATTTTGGGGTTGGGTACATCGATTTTAGAGATTTTGGTTGTGGTTTGGGTTCTTATTTTGTTTTATATAGATGGGGTTTGACTGTGATTTAAATTTTGTTTGATATACTTCCTGCACACTGCAAAATTCTATTATTATTTTGGGGGTTTTAGTGTTGCAAGTCCAGTGTTTGGCTTATAAGTGGTTTATTAAACTAAAACTGGTGCAAGTCCAGTGTTCTTTCGAAGGATTTATAATATCTTGGTTTGACAAATGCAAATCCATATTAACTTAGTCTTGTCTTCATCAAAATTATAATAATAATACTATTAAATTAGTGTTGTTATTTTTATTCCAGGTGCGTGTGCTTGAAGTTAATATAGTTGTACTTGCTCATGAGGCTGGTGATGGTGAATTTTATATCAAGTATATTGTATAAATGGTCCCTCTGTTATGTTTTCTTTTCGATTGCTAATTTGTGTTACTCTCCCATTGAGCTGATGTCGAGAATATATTGTATATTTTGCCCCTCTATTGTGCAGAACACACTGAGCAAGGAGCTTCTCTGCCTTGCGTTTGATTGTGCTGGGAATATATTGTATATTTTGCTTTCTCTGCCTTGTGTTTATTCTAAGTACATTGTGTAACTTATTGTACCTTCTTCCATTCATTTTGATTTGCATCTTGATGTGAAAATTAACTTGACACACAAATTAAACGCTATTGTTGACAATTGTAGTATATCTATAAGTAGAGATCGTTCTAGACTGGGGATTAATTAAGGATGCTAATCAACACAAATAAGACTTAAAAACACTAAATTGGACTCTATAGACTCAAAACTGACTCAAAACACTCAAAACAGCAACAAACAATAAAAAAAACTCAATTCTAGACCTAACAAGTGATTTTGACTAAAAGAAGACTAAACTTGACTCAAAAGACTCAAAGAAAATAGATTTTAACTCAACTAACAAAACTTAATGGAAAGGGGATTGTTTTTGACAAATTTAAAACTTAAAACAGGAACTTTGCATAAACACTTTATAAAAACGAATTTGGTAAATTGAAAAGGGTGAAAGGCTAGTTAGAGGGTCCTTCTCCACACATGACATATGCATACAAACCAATTTCCAGTTATTATTCCTTTAGACTATGAATGACAATGCCCCAAATTAATCGTGAAAAACACAAATTAACTTTCAAGTTTTCCTTAACTCTTTGAATTGGACGGAATACGCATCGCAACCAAATTATCCTTATCAAATTCCCTAACTATGAAAAACATGGTAGAAAGATATATCAAAGGTCGTTAAGTTCTTTGAAAACCATAAGCATTGACGAGACATTCGTAACTATGAAAAGCATGATACTCATACCAAGGATTTACTTAACACAATCATGACTAGTGACTTCCATTACTTGTGAATATAAATTCATAACGATTAGGTGAAACTTCCTTATACTCTAGCATCAAATTCATGCATGCAAATTAAGTGTCGACCCTCAATCAACATACATAAATAAGTTTTGATAACTCAGATAAGCAAATCACATTCAAGACTCAAGAAACAATAACTGGATGTAATCAATTCATATAAAACATATAATCATGGCTTCAAATTCACCTCCAACTATAAAGAAATTAGTTCCTCATGTTCAACATAATTGAAAACCAAATTAAAATAAACATTTTACTAAGGATAGAAAGAACCCAGAAACATTCCACACTCCAATGGCAAGCTTGCGGCACTCCCTTGGATGGCAGATTGCACGACACTCTTCTTCTCCTTCCTTGCTGCGGCACTAGGGTGAATTAGGTGTTTGATGACTGAATGTATGAATGAATGTATGAGTGAATGGATGGTACAAAATGGTTTTATGCGGCATAACATGTATATATATGCTAGGGTTTCATGGCAAAGCCTTGGAGAACAAGGCTAAGGCACGGCATAAGCTGAATAGGAATAGAATTATTCAACCAAAACCTAAGTGGAATGGGTTAAAACAACCAGAAACCAAGGGGAATTAGGATAGAAAGATGCAGCAGACATTAAAGCTTCTAGAAGGGATGTTTTAGAACATATTTCTGACTTCAAATCGACAACACATGCGGAAAGGGTGTAGGAGAGGAATTACAACTCCCTATCCACCAAGGAATGGCATATATGCTGCACACAATGGATAAAGCTTCTAGAATTTGAATTATGTATTTAAATGTATAATTAATCCCTTCTACATAGCTGGAATTAAGGCACAAACTGATTTGGATAAGATAAGATAGGATAATACTAGATTTAGGAAAGGATAAGGTTGGTTAGGATAGGATAAGATAAGGTTTGGATAATGTTCCATGTTTCTTGCTCTTTCCTTATCTTCTTTGTCTTGAACTTGTTTCTCTAGATTTGTGGCATGTCCCTAACCTCTTTTGACTTCAATTTTGTCCATCCACCTTGCTCCATATGCAAGCTATCCATTCCATGCCCAAAACTACTCCAAATAGCTCCAAAATGCACTTTCTTGCCAACTTTGCCATTATGAGCTACAAACACACGAAAATAGCTTAAATCACTATAATAAGTAGAAACTAACTATGTAAATGCAAGAAAACAAGCTAACTAAGTCGCATAAATATGCTCCTATCAAATTCCCCCACACTTAGCTTTTGCTAGTCATCGAGCAAAACAAAAGAAACAAAGCATAACCTAAACCTTCCAACAATTGCCTCAGGGATTTCCAATGCAACATGACATGTTAAAAATCAATACTCCCACAAATTTTAGTTATCCCTACCCTCAAGCATATACTTAACTGTAGTAAACACTCACTAGCTCGCATTTAATCAATTAAAACAATATTTTGAATGTAGTAACATGCCTTAGAGAATTCCGTTAATTCATCACCGGATATACTCTCTATTTTCACACAGATTTTCTGACTACACTCCTTACACTAGGTATATGTGAGAAGATTGATGTAAACATGTAGACTAAGACTCACATATGTATAATCAAAGAAGGCACTTTCTGGAATTATTAACATGTATATGTATGATCTCATGAATGGAATGCCACTACTTAGATGCGAGAACCAGGGATACCATATGCTCATACCAATTTTAAACTCCACATATTGAAACACATAACAATCAAGATAGAAGTCTAAGGGTTGTAACGGGGCTAAGGTATTCGCTAATAAAGAAAGGTAAGGATAAACAAAAGTTCTTAAAGCAATAGTAAGCAAAGAAATGAAATAAACACTTAGAATTCACTTTTGAATGCAGAAATCAACTTTGAACACAAAGGGAAACTTCACACATCTCTTAGGGCCATATTCAAACTTTTGTACCATTTCTTCAACAACCAATACTTGTGAGTTCATTCGCTTTTATTTTCAACTCCTTTTTCTTTCTTTTCTTCAACTTTTTCTTTTTTTTTCCTTCTTTTTCATGTTTTTTTTTTTTTTGTTTTTTTGTTTTTCCCATGCCCTAGTCTTTCTTTGGCACACAAATCATACATCTTCATAGATTTCCAACGAAAAATCATTCCCCCACACTTGTTTTTCTGCAATTTGTAGATCAAAAGGAATTCCCTCTAAGTCATGCTCCACTATTCTTTAAGAACAAGGGTATGGATAGTCCTATTCTAGGCTAGGTAAGGATAATGTGGTTAACAAAAAAAAAAAAAAAAGGCTAACTAGGGCTCAAAGGGGTTAAACCTACAATACATATGCAAAGGGTAAGGCTTTTTGGCTCTGGTTTAGCTAAACAACTTCATCTTGTTGTATGTTATGCAATCAATATCATGCTTTGAATGAAATGGGCATAAGTTCTAGTATTTGGAACTATAGTGATGAAACGCATTCTAAGTAGCAACCAAACAAAGAATAATGAGATCATGCAACGACTTTAGAAAACAAAAACATCAAGATCAATAACTCTCCAAATAAAGTTTAGGCTCAAGTCTCTCAGGATTGTAGCGTTAGTTTGAGTTTCTTCCTTCAAGCATGCTACAAAAACTGATTTTTTCCTTTTTGTGATTACATGCGAATTCGTAAATGTCAACTACAACTAAGCATAAACCAAAGAGCATATCAAACTTCCATCCATGTTTGTAACTTTCTTTAACAATCATGCAATTAAAAACCAAATCCTCATCATTGTGTTGGAAGGTACCCTAAGACACAAACAAACACAAAAACAAAAACGACTCTAAAAACAACTCTTTTTGAGTTTTTCAAACACTCCTTTTCGATATTTTTTTTTCAAATTTTTGGATTTTTTGTTTAAGACACATTAAAACACCTCAAAACACACTAAAAACACTTAAAAATAGTGAGTAACCACTTTAGAAGTGATAGGTGATAAAATCCCACGAAAATCATGCAAAAACAGCTTGTTTACCCCCCCACACTTAAACCAAACATTGTCCTCAATGTTTTAAGCATAGACTTACAAACAAACAAACAAATAACACAACTAACAAACATGACAAGCATGGCAAAGTAAAAGCAATAAAGAGTAGGGTTTAGGAATGCAAATCTGGTTATGGAGTGTTGAAGATTCCTAGATCTTCTTTATTTGCGTGGGTTGACTCCCAAGAAGCGCTTGCTTTAATGTCTTCCAGCTGGACGATGCCTCCTTTTAAGCTTTATTGGAGCCCACAACATGGAGGGCTATATCCTCCACAACATGCTCCGTAGTATGGTTTCAAACGATGTCCATTCACTTTGAAATCATTTCCGGTCTTTAAACGTTGAATTTGGACTGCACCATAAGGAAAGACATTAGTAATAATAAAAGGACCAATCCATCTAGAACGTAACTTACCTGGAAACAATTGAAGGCGAGAATTGAAAAGTAACACTTTCTGCCCTATAGAGAACGTCTTGCTACGAATCATCTTGTCATGGAAAGCTTTTGTTTTCTCTTTGTAAATGCAAGCGTTCTCATAAGCCTCATTCCTTATCTCCTCAAGTTCATTCAATTGAAGCTTCCTATGAATTCCAGCAGCATCTATGTCTATATTGAATGTTTTGACTACCCAATGTGCTTTGTGCTCCAATTCAATGGGAAGATGACATGGTTTCCCATAGATGAGCTGAAATGGGGGACATTCCAATTGGTGTTTTGTAGGCTATACGATACGCCCACAATGTATCATTCAAACGCAAGCTCCAATCCTTTAGGGTTGGCCCAACAGTCTTCTCCAAAATCTGTTTGATTTCTCGATTAGAAACTTCAGCTTGCCCACTTGTTTGAGGATGATAAGGTGTTGCCACCTTATGCGTCACGTTATACTTTTTGAGCAGCGCCTCAATGGTTCGATTGCAAAAATGGGAACACCTATCACTTATAAGAACCCTTAGCATTCCAAATGCAAATATGTTAGTTTTCACAAAATTTGCAACCACTTTGGAATCATTAGTACGGGTGGCTTTTGCTTCCATCCATTTCGAAACATAATCAACCACAAGTAAAATATAAACAAAACCATGAGATGAAGGAAAAGGACCCATAAAATCAATACCCCAAACATCAAAAAATTTCACAACAAAGATGGGGTCCTGCGACATTTGGTCATTTGCACCTATATTGCCCATTCTTTGACAACGATTACAAGTCACACAAAAAGTTCTAGCATCCTTAAATATAGTAGGCCAATAAAATCCACATTCTAAAACTTTATGTGCTGTTCTTTGAGTGCCAAAATGACCCCCACATGCATAAGTG